TCGCTCCCTCTCTTTCTCCCCGTCCCAGTGGAGCACCTTCGTATGTATATACGCGCGGGTGCGTGCGTATACGCATGCTATTACGTGTACGTGTACATATTATATATACACGTGCTTGTACGGTTACGAGTCTATTCGCCATAGAGCACAGACGCCTAGTTAGAATGGATTGCCCGGTATCGTCTTACCACGATGCCACGGGGTTGTACCTATACGACCATGGCGTTGCGGTTGTTTTCTTTTTTCTTTTGCCAGAGAGGAGGAAGGGATTTGTTTATTAATTTTGAGGGTTACTTATGCTTTGGGAAAACGAGCGGATGATGGTTACTGTTCTCGCAAAGTTGTGGTTTATACAGTTGTGCCCTAATGTTTTAGGCACCTTACACGCCCAAACAAAAAAAATTGCAAAAAAACCGATCACTTCACAACACATCTACATATAATGGGTCGTTGTTAAAAAAAACTTGGGCTTTTTATGTCCTTGCTCTTTACAAACAGTTAAACTGTTAAAATAATATTTATGTACGAAACCCTGGTAGAAACGTTACTACATAAACTGGCTAGAAACTCGTCAACATGTCATATAAGCCCATTGACGCATATATGTTGACGAATTTCTCGTCAGTTTATGTAGTAATTTTCTACCAGGGAAATTTTATTAAAAGTAATTGTGTTTTTTTATGATCATATGAAAAATCTCGAATCAGGTATGATTTTCAAGCTTGAACAAAGAAAATAATGTTAAAATGTCATTACCGTAACTTGTCTCCAATAAGAATTTCACATTCTCTACCTTCATTAAAAACAAAATTTCGATTCTTTAAATTCTTTATATCAAAATATCTTAAAGTTAAGTCAAATACCTACTTAACTGTATGGGAAAAAAAATTCTTAATAAATTTTGCGTAGTACATATTGTCTCTCGAATTGTGTCTCTCTGTTTTGTTAATTTCAAACTTTTCGCAAAAATTCTTGCAGTACAATCGCTTTTTCGACTTCAGTTGGGTCGCCACTGACATTATTTACCTTTATTTGTATGTACTATGTTGACAAACCTTCAAAGCGGTTGAAAAATTGAAAAACTCTTTTTTGCGTCAGTCTTTTTTTTCGTACACTCGAAAAAATAATGAAATCGGTCATTACCGTAACCAGCTGTATCTTGACGTCAAGGTATACGTACATATTTTAAGTGGTCAGAAATCGAACTAGATGGTAAGTACAATTTATAAATGCGCGGAAAACATTTTTAAATAATTATTCAAACAGATTTATTTTTTCGCGTAGATAACAGATTTAAGGATTTATAATGGCCCTGGTTTTGAGAAAAAATATATAAAGTTCCGTAACATTGAAAAATTTCGAAGTTAATGAAGAAATAAAAGCAAAAGTAAAAAAAGTAAAACATTAAACTGATGGAATAAATTTTAAAAAAGTTTCACGGAAAAAAATATAAAATCAGCCAAAAGAAGAGACGAAGTAAAAAAGTAGCGTAATAAACTTGAAGGAAATTCTGATATCAAAATTATCTTAATTCTAAAAAAGCGTGTCATTACCGTAACCACCAAAAATCTGAAATTTGTACGTATTCAGAGGTGCTCACGCATATAGGATGTGCCACTACTTTTTTCTCTTAGTTTTTACATATACATAAACTACGTAACGCTATTTTTGGCCTTTTTTTACCCCCCCCCCCTTCCCCAAGTAACTTACCGTAACGTTTTGCCTGACCCCCCCTCCCCTAGTAAATGTTACGTAACTTTTTCTATAAAAAAAAATTTTTTTTTCATTTTAACTCTACATCAAATGCACTTTCGAAAGGTGCTACTAGCCACTCGTGTATATCACTGATTACAGGAAAGGAAGCTATATCATCTGTAAAATCGTTATTTGTGAGATTAGAATATTTAATTTCTACGTCTTCTTCTTCGAGACCCTCTATTATTGGCTCAAGAGTATCAAGCTCACAAAGTAATTCTGTTTCTCTTTTCGCTAAAATTTTTTTTGCATGTAGCTTTTGATTATTGACTTTTCTATGAATTTCTTTGGTGTGCAAGTTTTTTTGTTTTTTTGAAGCAAAATATACTCCACATGAATCGCATGACCTACCTAAAATTAAAAAAAAATCGTATGATTTTTTCGTCGCGACTTGTCAACAAGAAAAACAAAACCCTGCTGCGTTATCAACGTATAATACGAGTAGGTAGGAACGTATGGGTTACATCCTAAGTCAAAAGGTTTAATGAGATCTACAACTTTGTCATTCTCGAAAATATCACGTAACAAAATTACAGCCTAAAGAATTTTTTTTTTTTCACTGAAAGTACCATCTTAAAATGACTGCTATTTTTTCTAAAACAGGAAACTTGGCCTATTTCAAACCATTTTGTAAGACATGAAAAACGAAGCCATTTGTCAAATTTTAGCCCAGTCCGACAAAAACTACATGGATTAGTCAAAAAACTTTATTACGCCCATACATACATACGTACACCCCTGACACGGAGGTCCGCGATCGCAATTTGTTTTTTACTAAAATCTTTTTTACAGAAAAACAATAAATTTCAAGGATACTTACTCTTCTTGCTCTAACGAAACTATAAGGCACTCCTAATTATCAGTCGTGCCTAAAAATGTGTCAGCGGATTGTAATATATAATTTGATAACAGCATTTGTAAATATTTAATTTTAAAAAAGACACATCTTGATTTTAAAAGGTATCAGAAAAGCACCATTTTATCTGAATGAAACAGACACGATTTAGAATTTAAGTCAAAGTGCTACATCAATTATTAAGGCAATGAAGGTATTGCTTAAAAAAAAAAAAAAAATATGTTTTCTCAATAAGTTAAAATCTGTATCAAATAAGAGATATAGCGCATAGTCTGACTATCATTTTGCCGTAAATTTTTATTGAGGAATTATACTTATAAATTTAATGGCTGTGAAGATATTTTGCTGACTTTATTGATAAATATATAAATACTCTAAAAAAAAATATGTATGCATTTTTGTCACGGGTGTTGCTAATCAAATCGATTTGTGTCAGATCTTGTTGAAATTCAAGCTAAAAGGCTTCTCTCTGTAGGTATAGCTGTTACCTATAATCTTTTTGACGTTGAGAACAATTGCCATTGTATTTTTTTTTCAAGGTGTGAGCGTAAAGTAGCATACGACCCAAAATTAAAAATCTTACTTCTCAATTGTTATTAGGTGGTGAATAAATGAATAAATAAATAAAAAATAAATTCGTTGTAAAAAAAGGCTTTATGTCATAAATGCACGGAATAATAATCCATTATTTTTAACATCCTCATTAATATAGAAAATGAAAATTATTCGGTACCGTTTTATAAACATACAGTTTAAGTACAATTTTACACGCTGTTAGGTTACTTATACGTATGGTAAAGTGATTCAGTTTATATTTTTACAAATTAAATTAGATTTAAAAAATCATCTTTTTTTTTAAATAATCTTTCTATTCCGCATAAACTGAAAGAGGTGGAACGATTTTTGTACCTATAGAATGTGTATGTAAATCAGAGTGATATATGACAATATGACCATACTCCAAGGTTATTATGGCCAGAAATTTTTTTTATACATTAAAAATATCATAAATGTTAAATACTTCTATTTTTTAACTTTTAGAAGTCGATATTTGTTTCCCCATGGAAATGTTAAATTTTATTTTTGCTTTCAATAATGACAAAAACAGTAACAGTGAACTAAATGAATTATTTTATGGTTAACGTACAAACATTCAAGTTCATAGCTGCCAGAAAAATAGGTATGTTTCCTTACTCCTAAATCCTCATGCATTTTGTATACACGTATATCATCGCCTGAAGGCTCAGATATAGTTATTTTTACACCATAAATATGATGTGTTTAGCCATACCTACGGTGGTAGTAACTTGCGATGCAACATCAGGGGGATGAAAAAAAATGGAGAAATACATTGGATTTTGTTTCAAAAAACTCAATTCCCACCCGGAAAAAAACATTTTGTTTACTGAAAATTTTTGGCCCAAGTGGAATTCGAACCCTCCATGGCTATCAAGATCTGTAGACAGGCATGGTATCCAAAAAGCCGTTGTGTGATAATAATCTGATGCTTGTTTGTGCGAAAAGATATAAGAATAATGATTGATGTTTACAGATAATCTGTACGAAAGATCTCATGATTCGGAACGAGATTCAAAATCAGGTTAAAAGCACGTTGACGCCGTTGACGGTACTTGATGAACTGGACGGATTCATTTACTACATTAATTGAGACATTTTGTTTTCTGTTTAAGATAATATACAATGAGTCAGCATTACCCTTACAAATGTGAAATTTTTTAAATATATTCAATGGGAATACAACTAATTGTTTTTAATTACGTACGGCAATTTATTTTATTGAAATATGCCCACCTAAATATATAATTAACGGAATTTTCTTTTTTTAATTTATACACATACTTAATACTTAACAAAATGTAAAAATATTACGAGGTAAAATTTTCAGTAGGTAAAAAGTAGTTGATAAGAGTTACTAGAAGTATTCATTATTTTTTGCAGTTGGTAAGCATTTTTCTATTGTTTTGCCATTATAAGATAAAGAAGTTCCCTATTTCAACGATCAAACTGATGATAATTATTGTGTTTCGTAATCAATATTTTTTTAATAAAATAGCAATTGGTAGAATGTTACTACGTAATTATATAGTCAAAATTAAAATATTTTGGATGTACAGAACAAAACAAATATAATTGTATGAAAAATTCTACATTTTTCTTCTTACTAAGTTAATGCAAGGATTCCAAGCTTTGTCAATATTTTGTAAGGTTTCCTTTATCCGAACATATGCAAAAATAATGTTTAAAGAAAGAAATATTCTTGATTTTCGGTAAGACATTAATTCGCATGCAAAAACTGAGTAATTTAAATGCAAAAATTTCACACAAACTACTACTACTAATAATAATATTAATGCATATGATTACTTACGAAAATGATCATGATGAAAAAAGCAGCTATGTATGCAGACCTTGACATCCACATGCTTACGAAACGATAGTGCTCTCCAGTGACGACATTCCTATGAGTATAAAAATTTTAATTACATTAATTTTTATTTTTGAAAACCAAAAATATTAACTACACACCTCAAGAAACCCTTGTTGTCCTCGTGCTCAGCGAGCGTCTTTATGCTAGCCATCAAGAGATCATCATAGCCCAAAAACTCATCGAGAATCAATCGAGAGAAGGAATCACCAAAGCACTTGTCAGTTGCCGGATCCAAAGTAACAATTTTCACTGGAATGTTGAGTTTCTGGCGTGCAGCTGGCGACAGACGCAGAAATCCATACTCTAGCGAGTATTCCACAATGTACTCATCCTCTGAAAAAACTAAATGACATTGATCATTAATGCCTAATATCACTCGTTAACACGCACATGTAGCAATTTTTTTTAAAGCTTAAGCGATCTTAACCTGCTTTGACCATTTTCTCGACTTCCGATACTTGGTCCTTTAGAGGCTGTATTATATTATCTTGGATTGACGACTTACTTTCTTCCATCGTGCCATTTTCTTGAATCTCCATAAGCGTGGAACTTGGTTCCTAGAATGTATTAATTTTACTTGATAAAATAATCACAAATTTATTTGATGAAACCAAAAGTTACTAACATCAAAACTTTCTACGCTATATCCACCCCAGAATTGCGTAGACAAAAAAGGACTAGAAGCAGCTTCTGCTGCACTGTAGTTATGCAAGATGTCTGATGTTGTATCCCTTAGATTAAGCTCTTCTTCGGACAGAGTTAAATTCTGCAAACCCTCACCATCTGAGCGATTATCCTGTTCACTTTCAACGGCTGATGGTTCAATATTTATAAATCTATCAAGTGATAAAGAACACGCAAATAAGTAACTGTAGTCTTATCGTTTTACATTTTCAAGTGGACCATGTATAGCAATATACAAGTACCTCTTTAACAAATTTATTACTAACCCATCTCCGGCCAATATTCCTAACACACCACTCAAATCGTCAACTTTCTCTTGGCGCAGCTTTTCCTCCTTCGCGTAACTTTTTTCAACGCTATAATCTTCACCTGCATTTCTCAGGATTTCCACCCTGAGTATGCCGTCACGAGGCCAGTCGTCTCTCACGTGCTCCAAGCAATTAGCCGGCGTACGCGAAAATACCACGTGTATGTAAACCAGCACAAAAAATGCCATTATTGCCTACGAGTAATGGGTATTTATGAAAAAACAAAGTTTCAAATAAAATTAGCGTAGAAAAAGGAATATTTTTACTCACCTTTAATAAAACAAAAAACTCTATCATCCGTCTAACAGGCCTTGGGAAAGTTTTAGCATAGAGCAAAGCAGATTTGATAAAAAGAGCATGAAAGAGCCTGTCCCTCACGCTAAACAGGGGATTTTGATTGTTATTATTCCTGGGCCTGTTCATGTTGTTGTTTATAACAGGTCCAATAGCCGCTGCCAGATTGTGATTGTTGTCTGCCACACCAATATTCTGATTGTTACCTAGTGGCATAGCCGCAACGTCTACCTGTGGCATCCTGGTAACTGAATGTTGGTGCAACTGCCAATGTGTACTGATCAGTTTGTTCTACTTATTTGATAGGTAGAAAATCCTCTTGCACTCGAACCTTTTACTGTGTGGTTCAACATCTCCAGTCAGATTTTCTTGGTAAGCTCCTGAAATACAAGCACAAGTACGATTGAAACATTTTGATTTTAACATTTAATTAAAAACCTAATGTTTTTATAATGAAGGTAAGCAAATATTTGTCCCTATCGATATAAAAAAATACGGTGATAAAATTCCAACCAACAAATCTCAGTGCGCTAAAAAATATAAATTGATAGAAAAAAGTTTTTAAACATTCATTTGTAGAATTCACAAGAAACGTAAATAGAACTTGTTCCCAAATATTACATTCTATATAAGTTGCATTTTCAAGAGCACCAACTAAATGCATATTCTATATTAAAAACTCTGAGTTGACAGAGCATTAATCTACTTGAGATTAATCTAAAAATATCATTATTAACGACTCCAAACATTTGCCAAGTTATGCATCGACGTATCAATTGCGCAACGCAAAAAGAAACATTCTACACAATTTTTCAAAACAAATACTGCAGTAGATATGGACACTTTAAACAATATTTTGGCCACTACGGGCTCTTTGCATTTGTCACTGATGTAAGTACCTACCCTATATGGGCATCTCGATTAACTTGAGGAAAAAAAAAGCACCCAACACAGTCACGACAAGCAGATCAATCTATTTATGGCAAAACACGTTCCCCGTCAATTTTGCAACGCACAAAAACATATTTACACTCTTGTATGTGTGTGTATGCTACAAGTTATCCTTTTACGTAAAGGAACTAGCACGCAAAACAGCTGTTGTTGCGAATTCAGTGTCTTAAAAACGCGTTTATCAGTAAAAAAACTATTCCCTCAAGCATCAACCCGAGTATATATTGAATTAAAATTTATACCATCATGAAAAAGTCGTAACCTTTATACTAAATTATCACGGAAATAAAAGTGCTTCATGAGATATGATGAGAAAATTATGAAGACAATAATAAAACAACATAACCTCCATGCACGATTTTCCTCACTTTCTTTTTTAGAACTAAACACACGCAATGAACAAAACATCAAATCACTGAGTGAGTACTTAATATATATAATAGAAAGAAGAAAAACAGTTAACGAATCACAACCGTGCACATCAGACAACGCAAGCGTGGTACGCGCCCTAAAATTATAATCGTCCAAAACTGTTTTAAACCCTTCAATGGCATAACATTCGTAACAATAAAACCTCAACAAGTAAAGTATTACAAGTACCTATAAACTATGAGCATACGAAAGTTAAAAGACTGCAAAAGTGCAAATGCATATAATAAACAACACAGACACGGGCTTAACACCCCAAAACCTACAGACCTACTACATATAAAACACTTTACGGAGCAACGGAGCGCGCTGTCACTTTGCACTTTCGGAAATCTCGGAATCCGGAATGTCAAAAAAGAGAGTACTTACTTACCTATATATACATATACCAAATAAATTGATAAGTGATATATATATATATATATCTCTTCTTCTGATGTTCAGAGTATAGGTAACTATATATAGGTATAAATTTTCATCTAGTCTATATAGGTTCTTCTAGGTCTATAGTCTCTTGTCTCTTTCTCTCTCTCTCCATGTACTCAAGTATATTTGTGCTAATTACGTTTGTATTTTACAATTCACAATTGTGCAAATTGTCACAAACACAACGTACCCTACTTACTACTTGCTTCGTAGTTATAAATCTCAAAAAAATCAAATCACACACGCGTTAACAATCGTCGGTTACGTAATTGTTGAGAAGAAAAAAAAAAAATCTACACACGCAGCTCACTTAGCCCTAGTTAATCTAATCGTGAAATTTCTTGCTTTCAAGTTCAAGTTCCAAATGATCCAATGTGCAGCAAACAGTCCATGAATTTTACGAGATGACGAGCTAGTCACGAGAACCATCATAATAAATTAAACTCTACACCTGTTACAAAATATACACATATTGCAAAACATCGAGAAAAACTATAGAAAATTTTTAAAACAACGAGTTTTGTAACTTGAGTATCAAACTGATAGAGGAGTACTGGAAAATAATGGGCTTACATTTTTCTTATGAAGAGAATTTTTTTTTTATTTTTATTTTTATTCATTCATAAATTTTTAGTATGTACATTTAATTAACATATGTATAAGGTATTAGTGTTTTTAATCGTATTCCGCGGGTTAATTTGATCACATTTTACCCACGCTCGATAAATTAGAAATTCGAGACACCAGCTCAAGAAGACAGAATACAGAGCAGGCCCTAACCTGGCCCTTGCAAAAAAATAATACGGGCCAGGTCAGACCCACTTATCCACTACACTTAAATCATCATTCTGCTGCAATCCTAATGTTTTTTTTTTTACATCCATGATAGATATAAAAGTGTAACTGTTTTTATTAAGTTTGAAGAATAATCAATGACATAGGAATTGTTTATTTTTTTAGGTAAAAACTCGACGTTTTTCTCAAAGCTTAAAACCCTCAAAAGTTTTTATTGTATTCACATAAGTTGGTAATATTAACACTACAGTTTTGCAGATAAATATTCTTTAGTTGACACTAAATTTAGATATTTTTTCTTTCTAGTAAATATTATATTCATTTTCCGAATTAATTGTAATATTATTAGTCACGCCTTAAAGTTTCACAAATGACCGTCATGGGTGATAATAAGTGCATTAGTGACAATGTCAGAAGTGAACTCAAGGAGATGTACATGAAAGTAAAAAAACTCTTGGATGAAAATGATCCAGAAACAGAGCCATACAAGAGCAAGTATGCAGCAATGGAAATTCTGAAAAACATGCAAAATCTCTTGCTCAACTCAGTTGACAATGCTAAGCAAGAGGAAAATGAGGTGATCTCCATGCTTGCAATTGTATACTTGAATCAAGGTATTGTTGCTATTGAGACCGAGGAATTAAAGTCTGGTCAAGACTACCTCAATAAATGTTTCGATTTGTTGAGCAAAAACAAACTCAAAGGTGATATTGTTCTACCCATGATAAGTGCTCTGAATCAACTGGGAATACTGTGGTCCAAGCGCGACGAAGCAACCAAAGCTCAAGAATACTTGGAACAAGCTGAGACAATTTACAAGAATTACAAAAATTCTCAGGACTCTAATGCAGACATCATGAGTATGTCTAATTTTTTTGGAATTCAAGATTTCGACGAGCTGCCTGCACCAAAAGTCATCGAGAAACTTCACACACTGACCCTGTACTATTTGGCACAAATTTATGGCAGCTTGGACAATTACCTCAAGTCTGCTGTCTATTGTCACATGACACTCAGAAGACAATTGGAAATGAATGACTTTGATAGCATTGACTGGGCTTTGAATGCTGCGACGCTTTCACAGTTTTTCATGGAAAAAAAGGGTTTCAGGCAAGCCAGGCATCATCTTGCTGCTGCAACTTATATCTTGGGAAAGCACGAGGATACTTTAAAGGACTTAAGGTAGTTATCTTATTCATGTAGAGTCGCAGTTTTTGTAGATGTAACATTTTTTTATAAACATAATACGTAACACTAATGTTTGCATTATGTATTTCTCAAGCTCAAAGTTAGAAACAAATGACCAAGAAAAAGAGATCTTGGACTCGAAATGGGAAAATTTTAAGCATAGAAGTGCAGATATTTCCAGATGCTGGGCAAAATATGGAATCTTGCTCATGAGCACGTCAAGAGATCGCTTGATTTCTAGTACAGAAACTGGCGAAGACAATCCTTTGTCCGACAGTACTACCATTCCCGTTGATTCCAAGTCTGATATAAATCAGGAGACATTCGATGGTTTGAAATTTGAGACCATTGAAAATGATATTGAACACATTACCGGGACAATCACGGACAAGTACCTTCTTGACTTTAATGATGCCAAGGCGGTGTTTTTAAATGTACAAAAATGGTTAAATGATGCCAAGTCATATTACACTATGGAAAACCATGCCTCTGACTACGTACAGATCGTTCAAGATATTTCACAGTTGTACAAGTACCTCACATTTTTCGAAGATGATGAAGATCGGCAAGCTAAAATGCACAAGCGCAGAATTGATCTACTGGAGGAAATTGTCAAAGAATTGAATGAGAGGTATTACCTGTCAGTGTGTCAACAGATCTGGATCGAGTTAGGTGAAACGTATTCGGAAATTCTTGACATAAAACTCGACAAGCTCAAAGCCACTGATGACAGACCTACTCCCCATGCACTGACAAAAATTAACAATCTTACCAATTCAGCTATACAGAACCACACAAAGTTTCTTGACTCTATGAAAGATTTGAAGGGCAAGTCGGAAAAGTTCCCAGAGGAGATGCTTAGAGCAGCGTTGTATTCGTATTTCCATCTGGGTAGGCTGTACAATAAATTCATCACACCGGATAAGCACAAGCAGCTTGAGTATGCGAAGAAGAGCCTCGATGCTTATACATTCTTGGTGAATTATTGCGAGAAGGATCCAAAGGCAGCTGAACTCATGGCTGTGGAACTAAACATCTGTAAAGACTTTATGAAACTGTTACCAGTCAAGATTTGTAAGCTCAACACGGAGTAGGCCGATTCCTCTTAAGGCTTGCGTGAGTTTGTGTTAATTGAATGCTGCTGCGATTGATTGAATAAGGTGTTTTTAAAGTACGGTGCATCATTAAATTTCAATCATGTTTCATATCATTGTTTTTTTAAATCTTACATTTTTATTCTTAAGTGTGTTCCTATGTATTATGCACTTTGAAGATTGTAAAATATAATTTTACTCACCAAGTACTGTATCACCATGGTAGACTGTTGAGAGATGAATGGAGGAATGATATTTGCACAAAATAATGCTTTTAATGAGATAAAATTTCATCAAGTCGCTGTTGGATTGTATGAATGAACTGTTGCACTGATAAGTCATTTGAAATTAAAAAACAGCTGCAAATTTTAATTAAAACTTTCAATTTTATTGATCATTAATATGATGGTGATATTTGAAAAAAATGGAGCTTCACATATGCTTAAATTGTACGATAGTCGTCGTAGTAATTGTGCTTATTTCTGCAAAGATCAAATGAATTTTTTTTTTATCACTACGTTTTCAAATATAAACGTCATTTGAGTCAATAAATTATAGCTACACTACATGTGTACAACGTGGTATTATAAAGTTTGGAAACAAACGATATACATATACATATATTTATAACAATAAGCGATGTGTGTTTATTGTTATCACTCGCCGTATTATTTCTCAAGTTTTATTCTAAAGTCTTGTTGTTACGAAACTGGGTCACGTAACTTGATTATGCAATGGAAGATAATTATTTATAAAAATTTTTTTTAACATTTGTAAATTAAAAAAAATTTGAATGCACGAAACAACGTATCTTAGGCCTTTGTTAACAATATAAATTCATGTATCCCATTTTTGATTTTTTTTTTAGGATTAACATCTTATAAATAGTACAGAAATATTTTAATAAATAAAGCTTATGAGGTTCAAATGAAAGTCATTTTGATTTCGCAGTTCTTTACCTTTAAATTATTTAGTTGATTGACATATCTTTTTGGCAGTAAATTATTGGTAATATTCATTACTCGTCATTGAAGTCTGTACTTGTATCGAACTTAATACACCTTCTTCAAATAATTACATAAATATGTACATAAATTCTTTAGTCATAATATTACAGCAATTAATACTTTGGATGTGAGTTAAGTTGAAAGATGTGCCTTAATTATTTTATCTATTTTTTATACTATTAAAATATTTCATTGTAATACTGCGACAGTATTTTCGGTTGTTACATTTTACTCTTATTCTCTCAAATTTATCAAACATGTAAAATAAATAAATGTTAGATAAAACTTTTTTGGAATGATTCTCCACGAATATGTTGTATAAAAATCTCTCAATCACCGATCAAAATCTGCTGTATAAATGCAACGTGTATGTAAAATATAAAAAATTTTTCGACAATAGTCGACGTTAAAAAAGTTTTATCATAAAAAATTGAAGTTACAAAAAAGGCAGCACATCTTCTTGGACAGTTTTTACTTTAAGTACTTGTGACTCCTTTGCGCGCAACCAAAAGATTTAGCACTGGATGTTTTCTAATGTAAGAAACAGCTTTCTTGTGAGTTACCATTGTAAAATCATAGCCATTACACTGTAATATCTTATCATGCATTCTTAGGCCGCTTTTTGCTGCTGGTGAGCCTTCGTGGACTTCAGTCACGTATATCCCCTGTTGAAATGATTTTTAAAAAGTTGAAAATATATCACTTGGACCGACGCAAATTCATATCAGTAGCATGTAAAAAATACACTTACATTGTCTTCATATCCCTGAGGACTTTTCTTATAATCTTGATCGATTCCTCCGCCAATTTTGAAGCCACATTTCATAACTTCTTCGCCATTGGCATTTATTTCAGTTTCTTTATGAAGTGTTATTGGAATCTGGAAAAACAAGAAGGTCTTGATGTCATGGGCAACATTTACCAAATGAATCAGCAATTTGTAAAAAAATTGTGTTTAAACTCGCACAAATGTTTGGCAAAAACATGAATTACAAAAGCAACAAGAGGCACTGAGTAAGAGTCAGATGATTTTCAAAATAAGTTGTAATGAATGGCACAGATTATGTCGTACTTTCAATACTGTACAAATATTCTTTCCTTCAATGAAAATACAAGTATACTTGTACTAGTAGGTATACTTATTTGGACATCGAAATCTGAATGACTGAAGTTTACAATTTGCATAAGCAGTAAGCTTGTGTCGGTGAAGCTAATTAAGTAAATATGCAACCACTTGACGTGACAGTTATAATACTTAAGAATACCGTTCCAGCAGCAAGCAAGAAAAAGTTGTGATGGACAAGTACTTATACAAACTTAACGTACTGCTACGAAATTTTCAAATTGGAGCAATTAGGTATCGCTGGCATGTCAATGACAACCAATTTCGAATAATCCCTCTCCTAATCACTTATTAAACGATGTATATGTATATAGGTGTGTGTATATATATTGAGAAAGAGGAGTGGCGTGCATCACACCATTGGCAGAGAAAAAAGCCGAATCATAACACAAATAAAAAGTGTACCCTAATTCGACAAAAGAAGTATATATAAGCCACCAGACAACATAAAATCTAAGTAACAGGGAAAAAAAGAAAAGCTAGAGAGCAAGTAAAATGAAGAATAACTAGACGGAGTTGCAGGATTTTGGTGATGATGGATGGCACAAGGCGAAGTCACTTACGCTGAGACACTTCATCGCCGTGCCAGCTTGATGCTGGAAAGCCATTTTCGCGCACATCGCTGATACTGACTGGCTATGAGCCTCTTCTTGTCTGATGATGTTATAAGCACTGAGAGATCTACTACTTCTGTTGGCTCTCTTTCGTTCTTCCTCTTGCGAACGCAAGTTTTACAATGCTTTTTCCTCCAACTGTATAAGTATGGTGTGTATTAACGATCGTTTTCCGGGTGAGCCCGTCTTTTTTCCCTCTCGTTTCTCTCTAAACTGCACCAACGAATATAGAAGCGTCTATATTCGTTGCCGTAATACAAAAATGTTACGCACATCAAAGGAGTCCAGAGAGAAAGCTAATATGTTAGTTTCTCGAGTGCGGCAAAGTGAGAGTCCTTACTTGATGCCCGACGTTACACACGGGCGCCCACAGTCGCGTAGTAGCTCAGTTGGTAAAGCGCCAGAGTCTCCGTGATAGTCGAGAGAGGCGGCCGGTTCGAATCTTCGGTCGGGAAAAAAAAATCTTGCACTCTTATCAAAGGCAGTGTCGCATTTTTCATCAATTCGACATTGCAACAAAAAGTGCTATATTAACATGTTATTTGCCTGTACACACAGGGTTGGCGATGCTGCAATCTCGCTTATACCTTTCAACGTTAGGCAACATTTCTTTTTTGTATTAAACTTTTTTTTTTTCCTAACTAAAAAAATTACATTTAACGGCTCTTTCACAATTATTATTTTTTTTTATTACAAAATTACGGTCTATCAAAAGAATAAAAATTTTATTTCGGTTTGAATCGGTTTATTCAAAATAGATATTCCACAAATTGATTTATTTCTCCGAAACAAAATATTACAGAAAGATAACAACAAATATTTGAATTATGTA